ATTTTCTTTGTCTTTTGTTCTTTGATTAACATGACAGACAGCAGCATAAATATTGGACTGCGGTCCCTTTAAGAGTTTATCCACGGACCCAATATTCTGTTACACAACATGCGTTCTCTTTCTCAACTCTTTAACGTTCCAAAACTGACTGTGTTTAACTGGATACTCGCCAAGACGGGCATTTTGACATAATTTTGTATGTATTTGAACGTTTTAGCGCAGTTAGCCACTCATTTTGGTATTTGTGGCTCACAAGCTGTTTGAGACTGAGCGCGGATTGTGCGATCCACTAATATAGATCAGTGGTGGTGCGCACGCGTTTGGTATAAGCGCGAAACCTGCGGGAATGACTATAATGCGCAATACAAACACTATTTAACTGGAGCGAATGAGATGTGTGTGAGAGAGAAGGGGTCGTCGGAGAGAAGAGAGTGAGAATGCGCGGCTGATGTTATTGCCTGTGCCGCTGGTAACAAAACGGATCGGCTCGAAATCGGAAAGAAGTGAGACTGACCGACCGATCACCGATCCGTGCCGATCATGAGGAAAACCGGCCGATTCCGATCCCTCGCAGATCGGTGCATCTCTAATAATTTCATGTATCTCCCATCGGTCTTCACAGCAAGTCATATGTCATTATAACTATTTATAGTTTATTAATCATTATGTTATGGCCATTCACACTAAAACCTTGTAACATCGGGCATCAAAACATAATGCATAATTCAATAGAAATTATTGATAACTCTAATGTTAATGTATTTCTATAACCTACAAGAAAACACACAGTGTATTCTGTATAAAATGAAGAAAATAAGATATTATCAACTTCCAATTTCCACCTACTGTGTAATAACCATTTTTTATATGGTTATTTCACAGTATTTTGATAAATCAAAAAGTATATTGCGTTGCTGCATATTCACTCATTACCAAAGTCTTTCTGCACCATTCTAATATTTCCTGAAATCCTTTAAACCAATGACAAGCTCATCGTGCTCACTGCTGGCAAACGTCCAATGACACATGCTCAGGGGAGAGGGAGAGAGAGAGAGAGAGAGAAATGGAGTAGTAAAGGGAGAGCAGTTCCCTAATTCACTACTTTGCACCAGAGGGATTTGACTGTGTACGCGATCCTTTATTCATCGGATCCGACACTACCCAACAGCTTGTGAGCATACCGACACCAAAGCCACACAAACCGCTCCACCGCAAGCTGTTAACAACTACACTAAAATGAGTGGAACTGAGCTGGCCAGAGGAAAGAGATTTAAAAGAGCAGCGAGAGAGAGGGAGAACCAGATCTGCAGAGGCACTTTCACTCTCAGTTCATTAGTGCTTTTTTACGCAGGTAGACTTTGATAAGATGAATGCAGAGTAAACAGACTGATAACAGTGAACAGTGGCTTACAAAGACGCGCCAAGCATCATCTTTCACGGTGCCCGACAGGAAGAGATTAAACTCATTCTTTCAGAGTGAACTGAATACACTGTAAAGCTGCCCTGACTCATGTCTTTACACATTTTCTCAACAACTGTCCAGCACACTTTGCAAATTGCAATACTCTAGTGAGAGAGCTGCGCTCTACATGGAATCCATCACTCACACGGCTTTATAAACTGTGACACTTCCTCAAGCCTTCTAACTGCCTCGATCTTAATGCATCCCTTCAGCTTTGGCTAATGCTATAGCCTGCAAACTGTCAATCCTTATAAGCTTTCTGTTGAGAAAGGGCAATTTGGGATATCCCATTTGAGCATGGCAGTTCAGCTAGCTCAAACCACCACCTCTTCATCCTGACCCTCTAATTAGAGGTTCAACTCTAACACCGTGTCGACAGCAGACATGAGCAGCACCACTTGATAAACTAAATTGCTCTTATTATAATCAATAATGCTGTCTACACTGGAGAAGTCCACTGCAGCCAGCTGAGGCACAATTTGGGTTGACAGGCTTGTCGTTTCTAGTTCTAATGCGCTTGTAGAGCCACTCTAGCCATGCTATTATCCGGTCTACAAATGAACAGCTTTTACTTGCAGACATTGTATATATGATTTTTTCCCCCATTAATTGAACATTACAAAATGTACTGTATTTGTTTCTGGTGTACTCATTTAAATTATCTTTTATTTCTTCTAACCATATGTACACTATCATTCAAAAACTTTGGGGTAAGTAATTTTTTTTAAATATATAATAAATATAATATAATATAATATTAATGAAAATTAAAATACTTTTATTCAGCAAGGATGCATTAAATTGGTCAAACAAGACATTTATAACGTACAAAAGATTTCTATTTCAAATGCTGTTCTTTTGAACTTTCTATTAATCAAAAATCAGCATATTAGAATGATTTCTGAAGGATCATGTGACACTGAAGACTGGAGTAATGACTGCTGAAAATACAGCTATTCCTGCCACCACAGGAATAAATTACATTTTAAAATATATTCAAATAGAAAACAGTTATTTCACATATATGTCATAATATCACTCTTTTTTTTATTACTGATCAAATGCAGCCTTGGTAAGCATAAGAGACTTCTTTCAAAAACATTAAAAAGTCTTACAGACTGCACACTTTTAAATGGTAATGTATACTAAAAATGCATCAATTTGAAGAATTCTGTCCAATACTAACAATTAATTTCATTTTATGGTAGGCATTTAACACGAAAATTTTAAATGCTAAAGTGAATTTAGGCATCACAACATTATAAAATGTACAGTATTAAGATTAAGATTAAATGAGCATGTGATTTTAATGACAGTAAAAGATAATGCAAACATAACAATAGGGGAAATGAGAATTAAATTCTCAATTAAGTAAAGCATGATATTGATAAATAAAAAATAAAAAAACTACAATATTTGATTATAATGTTAAGGTACAGATTATCTTATGCACTCCTAATGAATAATTAGGGACGAACTGTTAAAAGGA